AGATGTTTCTTTTTGTGAAGAGTTTTAAAGCTGTATATGAGATCACATCATTTGTTTAAACTGCTGTTGTAATGTACACGTAATCCAGAAAATACTATAATTATAGAAACAGATTTCGAATATGAATCACTGTGTTTACATGTAATTTAATGATGCATGCAGGTGGTGACGGAGCCTCCCAATGGACTCAAGCTCAACATGAGAGCCACGTACTCCAAAATCTCTCACGAGACCTTGACCGAATGCCCACACCCTGCCTTCCGTAGCCTGGTGTATGTGCTGGCCTTCTTCCATGCTGTGGTGCAAGAGAGACGCAAGTACGGCAAGATTGGCTGGAACGTCTCCTACGAATTCAACGATTCTGATTTCTTTGTAAGTGCCACATATTAATTTATTATRTGTAGGAAATAATAGATTTGGTTAGATTTTCTTTTTGTTACTTCTGATTAAGTGCTATCATTCTATTTGTTGTTAAACATGATAACTGTGCTCAACAGGTGTGTTTGGAGATCCTGAATACCTACCTGACCAAGTCTCACAACCAGGGAGACAGCAACATTCCCTGGGGAAGTCTTAAGTACCTCATTGGGGAGGTAAGACTGAATTCATTTTGWTTTAATAGACAGTATGTTTTTCATCCTGCTCACTGATGCTGTAATTTAAATATGTGTGTGTWATCTTTTATAGGTGATGTATGGTGGACGAGCCATAGATAGCTTTGACCGCAGGATCCTGGCTGTGTACATGGACGAGTACCTTGGAGATTTCCTATTCTACACCTYCCGCCGCTTCCACTTCTTTGAAAACAAGGATGTAGATTACAAGATCCCTTTAAACGGGCCTAAGAAAATATATGTTGGTCAGTTGTTATTTTMAMTATATTTCATTCCCTTACTTTAAAGAGAATCTTCAGCTTACACTTATTTCACACTGTTGTGTTACAGATGAGATTGAGACTTTGCCATTGGCAAATASACCAGAGGTGTTTGGTCTTCATTCTAATGCTGAGATAGGATACTACACACAAGCAGCTAAAGACATGTGGACCCACCTAATAGACCTGCAGCCTCAGACAGGTATTGTATGATTTTGTCATCTTTCCACCTTAAACTTGAAAACTTAAACCTAACATTGATATTTTTTCAGAAGAAGTTGTTCTATATTGTCAAAGGATGTCTGCTTTCGCTCTTATTGTCTTTTCTCATTCTCTTATGCTTCAGGTGAATCTGGTGGAAACATCAGTCGGGATCAATACATCAGCCAGGTGGCCCAGGACATTCAGAGTAAGCTTCCAAAATTATTCGACATGGACATGATCCGTAAAAAGTTTGGCATGGACATTCCCCCAACGTCAGTGGTGCTGCTTCAAGAACTAGAACGCTTCAACAAACTGGTGGTCCGCATGCAGCGCTCGCTGGCTGAGCTGCAGAGGGTGAGAAGGAGGGAGAGGTTTACAAAACAAATATTTGTGCCTCACACAGGTTTRTATTTGTTCTAATTCTCTTCKKTTGTAAAGGCTTTGTCKGGCGAGGTGGGTATGAGCAGTGAGTTGGATGAAGTCGCTCGGGCCCTTTTTAATGGACACATTCCTGCCATTTGGAAGAAGTTGGCACCTGATACACTCAAGTCACTTGGTAACTGGATGAGTCACTTCAAGAAGCGTTATGAACAGTACAGACACTGGGTGAGGATGGACACTCCCTATCACAGAYAATCAATAACATGTAGCTTTCTGTTTTATTGTGGAACTAGAATGGCACTCAGTYGAGCACATTACTCCACCATGGCCCAACAGTCCCCTTAAATTCAATCAAGCTGCACCCAATTGTACAGACTAATAGATATCAATCAATACCCTAATTATTTTCATTAAGATTTAAAAAAATGCTGGATCTGGCTTCTGATCCGGATCTGCACCAAAATTCAGTGTGTTCTTTCCTGAACCATCCAGTTGTTTTTGCGTAATCCTGCTACAAACAAACAAACTGATGAAATCATAACTTCATTTACAGTGGTTAGAACAGAATGAGAGGGTATATTTAAGTCAAATTGTGTCTGTGTGTTTTGTGTCCATCAGGTGGATGAGGGAGAGCCCAAGGTAATGTGGCTATCAGGACTTCATATCCCAGAGTCCTACCTGACTGCCCTGGTCCAAGATGCATGCAGGAAAAATGGTTGGCCTCTAGATCTTTCCACACTGTACACACAGGTKACTCAGTACCACAGCGAGGAAGAAGTCAGTGACAGACCKGGACAAGGTAATGAAATCACTTTTATCCTTTTGCAGCGTGATTAGAAATGAGTTAAGACTGATCACCCTTTTCCCTGCAGGCTGTTTTGTGTCCGGCATGTATCTGGAAGGAGCAGACTGGGACATGGAGAAGGGCTGTCTGGTGAAGAGTAAACCAAAAGTTCTGGTTGCTGAACTGCCCATTCTCAAAGTCATACCCATAGAGGCACATCGACTCAGCTTAGAGGTGTGGACCACAGACACTTCTTACTTCCTTTCTAAGCTTAAGTTCACCATTTTGATAATTTCTCTAAAATGCTTTGTATGTTGTTTTTTTTACCACAGAATACGCTGCGAACACCAGTGTACACCACGTCCTTGAGGAGGAATGCGATGGGTGTGGGGTTGGTGTTTGAGGCAGACCTGTTCACCACCATGCACATTTCCCACTGGGTGCTCCAGGGTGTCTGTTTATACCTCAATGCAGACTAAAGGCAGACTAAAGCTTCCAAGAGTAATTGTTTTGTTTTGGACAAAAAAAAATCAGCTGCTTCTGCAGTCCAGTCAAAGGGAGTTCTGGGGAAGATAGCAGCTGGGGCTGCTTCTGTGACACAGGAGGCTCTGGAGAAGATAGCAGCTGGGGCTGCTGCTG